AAGTTGGTGAGGTAGAGATGGGAATGAAATTTATTGTAAAAAATGTGCTACCAAGCAGGATCAAAGAGACCGAGCAGTTTTGATTGTTTTTTATCTGTTTCCACTCACATTTTATCTAGCGTATGGTATTTACCTATTGTTGACCGACAGTCCTGTAGGTAAAATTACACTTTTAGTCTCTGTAATTGCTACTGGGGTATTTCTAATTTGCCTTTTTAATGAATTTTTCACTACTAGAAAAGGCAGAAAAGGTTCCAAAAATAAAAAATAGTTACTAGGTTTGTTTTGCTGATGGTCTTGTTATACAACCGCAAAAAAGCCTCCTTTTGCAACTGAAGTTATTTAATAATTGAGGTTAAATACTTGAATTATTACACTTTTTTATAAACCGAATATAAATAATTATTTAAAATTGCTCTAAAGTTTAATTAATAAATGACGGTTATTGAACGACTAAATACTAAAAAAAACGAGTTTCAAAATCAGCATGATTCCTTGGCCTATTCCAGTGTGCCAAAAAGTATTCTAAAAAAGAAAATAGAAATACTTGATGAGTTAATTGCCGCTTACCATTCAACTGCTTCTCTTGCTAGTTTATCAGAAACCGAAAAAATTCTCAATCAGCAAATAGGATTTGAAGAACCAAAGCAACAGGTTTTGAATAGTTTGAAGATTAAAAATTATTGCGAACAAAATGACTTTCAAAGGAGTCCGCTGGTCTTATTTCTAGTTGGATCTCCTGGAGTAGGGAAGACCACCTTGGCTCAAATCTTAGCCCAGGCTTTAAAAAAAGAATTCTTTATGGTGGCACTGGGAGGGATGTCGGATAGTTCTCTGCTGTTAGGAAATAACGAAAGTTACTTAGGAACTAATGGAGTGGGACAATTAACTAAGGCTTTAATTGAAACCAAAACTCACGATCCGCTAATTTTGCTGGATGAATTTGATAAGGTCAGTGCTTACAAAGGTAATTCGGCGATTCATAATTGTTTAAATGCGGTTTTGGATCCGGTGCAAAATAAGGAAATCCTTGATTATTATCTGGATGTTAAATTGGACTTTTCTCACATAACTTTTATCATTACCGTTAATGACCGGAGTGAAATTCCAAAACATTTGTTGTCAAGGATGCCGGCGGTGGTTGAATTGCCAGGTTATACTCTGGAACAAAAGAAAGAAATTGCTCAGCAGTTTATTAAAAATTTTTTTGCTGGTAAGGAAAGTTTAAAAACTAAATTTGAAATTACTTCTCAGGCTCTCGAAGTTTTAATTAATAAAACTAAGGAAAAAGGCGTTCGGCAATTAAAAAAAGGACTTGATAGTGTTTTTGACTATTGCCTTTTGCAATGAGCAGAAGAGTTTGGACAAGGAAAGCCAGAAAGTAAAATAACCATTGATTCTGGTTTAGTCCATGAAATTATCCCTCACGACTTCGCTAATATTGACCAAGAAGACCAAGAAAATACCCCCGAAAAGAAAAATGAAAAAAAAGAATTAGAAAATTTACGCTGAGAAGTAGCGAATCTGCGAGGAGAAAAAAATAATCAAACTGAATTAAAAGTAGTTAGGTTTAATTCCTTACTGGTGTTGCGGCAAGTTAGAGGACAATTTGCTGAAAAAGAGTACCAAGATTACGAGGGGAAAATAAATACTGCTACTTCGCGAGAAGAAATTGAGGTCATTGTAAAAGAATTTTTGCTAAAAGTCAAGCAAAAAAATATCTCTTCAAAACCTACCAGGGAGAATGGAAACAAAGGAATTCAAGCTGAATTGGCAAAAATTAAAGACTTAAACAAGATTTTGGAGGGAAAATTAAAACTTTTTGATGATGAACTAAAGAAACTGAAAGGAGCCACTAAAACTTCGCGGGGTCAAGGAAATGAGGTTAAAACTTTATTAATAATAGCGGTTATTAGTTTGATAATTTGAGGTGTTTATGGAATACTTAAATTACTAGATTTTTTGAGGAAAACCAAAAATACAACAAAAAAAAAAAAAAAAAAAAACAGTTTAATTTAATGCTTCATTTAAAAAACTATAATAATGAATTCACAAACTAAATTCACCATTAATTATGTCCGTCAAAGTTGATTAGATATTTTTCAGCAAAACGGTTATCATTTGATAGCACCAGTTTCCCTTATTCCGCAAAATGACCCCTCTTTGTTATGAATTAATTCCGGAGTAGCTACTTTAAAAAAATATTTTAATAATCCCAATTTGGCACCGGCTCGCAATTTAGTTAATTGTCAACGAGTAATTCGCACCGATGACTTAGCAAATATTAATGCTCACTCTTATCACCAAACTTTATTTGAAATGCTGGGGGATTTCTCAATTGGTAGTAATTTTAAAGAGGAAGTTATTCCCATTATTTGAGAATGGTTTACTTCACCCCAGTGGTTAAATATGAACTCGCAAAACCTTTTTATTACCGTGTGGGAAAATGATAAAGTTAGTTATGAGGTTTGAAAAAAACAAGGCGTAAAGGAAAATCACATTCTGCTTGGCAATAAAAAAACTAACTTTTGAGATATGGGTGATGGTCCTTGTGGTGCTAACACCGAAATTTATTTTGACTTTCATCCAGAAAGTGGTTTACCAAAAAAGATTGAGGATTTAGATAATAAACGATTTATTGAAATTTGTAATATTGTGTTCCCGGAATTTTATCATAAGGGTGAGGAATATTTGCCCTTAGCGGAAAAATGTGTGGATACCGGAGCCGGATTAGAACGAATTACGATGGTTTTACAAGGCAAAAAAAACACTTTTCAAATTGATTTATGAGAGCCAGTTATTAAATTAATTGAGGGATATTGTCAAGTTAACAAAAAATAAATATTATGGTTGAAAAAAAAAAAAAAAAAAAAAAACAGTTTTAATAATCTTTCTCTTTTTAGGGGGAGTGGTTTTAATGGGTGGTATTTTCTGAATAGGGAAAAAGATAGGAGAGAACAAACCTCAGCCTCCCCTTTCTAATCAGACCCCCGAACAAAGAATCGCCACTATCCAAAACCAGTTAGCGACAGTAAAAAAACAACTCGCTAAGGAAACTAACTCAGACCAAAAAACCAAGTTAGAAACCAAAATTAAACAGTTAGAGCAAGAAGTAGTTAATTTAAAAAATCAACAAAATCCTACTCCCCCAACTCCTCCGAATAATCCACCTTCTCCTCCAATCCCTCCGAATAATCCAGTTCCGCCCAATGACCTAATCTCGACCATTTGCAGATGAAATGGGTCGGTTAAAAGTGGTTATTGGTTATTTGATAACCGAGGACAAAAATATAAATTTCATATCTCCAAAAATCACCCTTTTTTAAAAGGTAAAAAGTTAGATAGTTCGGATGAAACTCCTCCTTTTAGTATCCGATTTAATAAAAAAAATGCTTCGCGGCAGGAAGAGGATAAAATTTTCTATTTTGACGAGGATAATAGCAATTTCGAATTAAACCCTTTTGGAGGCTGACAGGATGATCCGCAACCAAACAATAATAAAAAGCAAGAAAGAGTTTTATTTATTAGCAGTAATGAGCCAAGTGGCTATGTTTTTACTAATCGTTTAAGGAATGGGAGGCGAGGAGGAGAAAGTAATGCAAGTTTTTACGTTAGCAAAAACCACCCTAGAATTAAGGAATTATTAAGAGAGGGGAAGTTGCGGGAGGAAGGAGAAGAATTTATTATTCGTTATGGAAAAATCGATGAAGTATGAGCAAGAGACATTTGGTTTCATTTTAATGAGTTTAATACAGAATTAGAAATTATAGAAGTTTAAAAACTCCCTGCCTCTTACTAACATTGAATTTACAATAAATGCTATAAACTAATCATAGTTAAACAATTAAGGAAATAAAGATTTGAATAAAAAAAATTATAGATGGCTCAACTTTTTAAAAAACCTGACCCTCGCCGACGTTGACAAGGCTATTGGATTTATTTCTATGTTAAAGAACATATTCCGCCCGAAAATAAACCCTTAGAGTGAATTCACCTTCACTTTAAAGGGCAAACCGGAGAAGTAGAATTATATTTAAAAAATGGTTATCCGAATTATCGAATAGTAAAGCAGTGAGGTAAAATTGCTGATGAAGAAAAAACCTTAATGAGAAAGTTTATTCGGGATAATTATTCAGATATTGTGGCAAAAATCCAAAAAGAATTAAAAGATAAGGGAATAGAATGAAACGGAACTTTTAAAAAATAACTTAATATGACAAGGCTAAAAGTAAACGAAGTTTCGACAAAGCACATTCAGCAACCAAATAAATCGCTAATCATTAACCAAGAACAACCGGCCAAAATTATTAGTTGTGAAATAAAAAAAGGAAAATTAATTACGCAATTAGATGATGGGAGAGAAGTGATTATTGCGGTTAATTTGTTAACCAAATACGGAATATTAGAGGAGGATACTAAACCTGAACAGTTAAAAAGGTATGAATTACAAAATGAAGGAAGGTATATTCATTTTCCCGAAACTGATGAAATATTACCGGCTCGGATAATTAGTAAAGGAATATTTGCTTCTTGTGAGGAAAGTAGAGAAGAATAATCAACTAAGTGGTTTTATTTATATCTATTCAACCTTCGCCGTCGCACTCTCACAATAATAAGGATAATTAAGATTAAAGGCAAGGCAATTAAAGTCGCCATTCCGATAATTTTAGATCAAGCCATTGGCGGAGTTTCTTGCTGATTTTCTTCTCCTTGTAATTGGGCTAATAAAGCATCAACTTTCTGCTTTTGCTTTTGATAAGCCATTTTTTTATATTTATTATCAGTAGCAATAAAGGATGTAAATTCATTTATTATCTCTTCTTTCTCTTTTTTAGTCAAATTACCTTTTTTAAGTTTATTTAAACTTTGAGTTATCAGACTGTTTAATTTATTATCGGTTCCGTTCTGAGCAATTTTTTCTTCGGCTTGGGCGATTTTGACTGGATTAGTTGGGTCTTGTTTGGCTTCCGCTACTGCTTTTTTGGTTTCCTCATCCATATTATTTTCAGTTAACCCATTACTTTTTATTTGTTGTTCTAGTAAGTCTTGGGAAGTTTTTTGATATTGAGAAGGATCTAATTCTTGTAATCTTGTTTCTAGGGCTTTGATTTCCGCTTCTTTTTCCTGGTAGGCATTAGTAGAGCGTAATTCTTTGATTTGTTTGAGAATATTGGCCAGGTTTTGATAATTATCTCAATTCTCTTTTTGTTTAGCAGCAATTAAGAGTTCTTGCAGGAGGTTTTTGGTTTGGCATGCCGCTTTTATATTTTTAATGTTGGCTAATAATTGGTTCTGAATACCTAAAATGACCTCTTTAGAGGGAGCCTCTTTAATATCATTTTCTCAATTTGGATTAATTAGTTGATTGATCGAGATAGAATTTCGCTCTAATGCTCGATTAATTAGGTGAATAACACGAGCCCGGAGTTCAGCAAGATTGTCATTTCCTCCTTCTTTTTCACGGAGTTTTCCGATTTCATCTAATACTTCTTGTTTTCGAATTTGAAGGATAACCAAAGTAGAAGAATTTTTAATATAGTTTATTCATTCGTCATTTTCAAATTCGACTTTAGGTTCCTGATTTATTTCGGCTTCGATTTCCTGAATGGCTTTTTGGATTTCAGATTGGAGGATTTTATTATGGCCGCCTCTTTTTTTTTTTTTTTTTTCGTCAGGGTCTCCTTTTAATTCTACTATTCTTGCTTTTATCATTTGTAATAAACTATGAAATCGGTCAGCATTTCGGCACTTTTTCGTTTTCTCAATAAACTCGTTTTGAAGCGTTTCGCTGAGTAGACTCCAATCACTCAAATTTTTTAATTCCTGAATCCATCCATTTCTTTCGGAACCAATTCCGTTTTTCTTTTGTTCGTTAAAAATCTTCGCTTTTTTTATCGTTTCTTTAATGTGTTTCTCCATATCCTCTATGCTATGAAAATAATAATGCAACGAAATTTTTCTGAGTTCCTTAAAATAAAAATTTTTTTCATCCGAAGTAAAAAAAGTTCAATGACTTAAATCTTCTAGTTCATTAACAGCCTTTAATATCATCCCACACTTTTTTGGAACTTTACCTTCCCTATGCACATCTCTTTTACAACCTTCGCAATGAGTTTTATTTTGTCCTCGATTTCTTTCCTCATGTTCTTCTGAGCAAAATGAAGAGCAAAACATTTTACCACCCATTCCTTGCTTTCAATTTGTTCCATTCCCTTCATTTCTGCATTCAGCACAAGTGTGAACTTCTGGTTGTTGGTTTTGATGTTTTCATTCCTTATAACGATCTTCTCAATTATCACCATACTTATCATAAAATTCTTTCATTTCTTCATCAGACAGAATTCTAAAAGCCTCATTAATTTCTTGGGATTTTTTTTTGGCAGTTTCTTTAATATCGAGATTTCTATCGGGATGCCATTTTAAAATTAATCTGCGATAGGCTTTTTTAATTTCTTTTTGAGTTGCTGTTTTTTCAACTCCCAATATGCTGTAATAATTTACCATAACCTTACGAATTTTTTACTTACTTCATCAGCAAGTTTTAAAATACTTGACTGTATTCACCCCTTACTGTTTTTTTTTTTTTTTGCTATTGTTGTCATATGTTCTTTATTAATTTAATTATTATATAAAATCATTGCCTAACCTTTATGATAATATATGGTATTATTTTACAAAATATTAAGAGCATTAAAACCACCAGATAAAAATTTTGCTAAAATAATATTTATTATGAATGTTAAAATAACCAAAGTATTAATAGACTTAAAAGGTAAGCAAATTCCTTGGTTTCCTCAAGCAAAAAACCAAATTATCCGAATCCCTTTGCAAAAAAAAATAACTGAGTCAGGTGAAAAAAAAGAAGTGGAGCGAGGGGATGAAATAGTTTTTGACAAAATTAACCAAAGAGATGAAGAATTCGGACAGCCTTATTTGCCGATTAAATTAATTGGAAAAGTAATTGGAAACGGGCAAAACCCAAAAATATTTGGGATGAAATATAAACCAAAAAAAAGAACTAAAAGATTTTGAGGTCATCAAGAGCAATACACCGAAATAAAAATAGTAGCAATGGAAGACCTTTAATAGTTGTTTAATAAACCTCAAAAATAACCAAAAAATATAATCATGCAAGAATTGCAACAAAAGTCTAATGAATTATTACAGGAGGAAATTCGGAGAGCAATCCGGGAAAAATTAAGTCGTTTTACCTTTCCTTGTCCTCATTGTCGAGAGGATATTAATGATGAACATTTTAGTAAAGAACAGCGAGCTTTTGGCTATATTAATGAAATAGTGAGAAAAGTTTTAGAAGAGCAAATTATTCCACAATGAAGTAGATATCGCGGGCTAATAGTTAAAGAATTAGAACAACAAAAAATTTATGAGAACTTTCAGGCGGTTAAAGAATTAAAAGAGACTATTAAGCACCACGAACAAAAAATAGTTTATCTTCAAGCTCCTGAACACATAGAAAATTCGATTCGGGTGAAAAAATTAGAGGAGGAAAAAAAGGAACTAAATAGTAAATACCAGAGCAAAATAGATAATTTACAGACGCAAAATCAAGACTTGCAAAAGCAAATTCTTGCTAAACAAGAACAAATTCAAAATTTAGTATTAAGACAGAAAGGGCAAGGGAAGGGGCAAGATTTTGAGAAGTGGTTTTACGAGGAATTGGTTAAAGTGTTTGATGGTCAGGATAGAATTACCGATGTAAGCAAAGGTCAAGCGGGAACCGGAAAGAGAGCGGACTTTCTCCAAGAAGTTTTAACTGAAATTGAACCAAAAAAGGTGGTCGGGCGAATTGTTTATGAGACTAAAAATACTGAAAAATGAGATAACAGTTGGGTGGAAAAATTGGAACGAGATATGGTATTTCATCATGCGGATTATGGATTTATTGTGGCCGCTTGTGAAGGAGACAAAATTATTCGTTCCGCCAAAACTACTGATCCCCGCAAAAAGATTTACATTAGTGGCGATAACATCAATTTATTCTTAGCCATCAAGACAATTCGCGAATTATTAATTACTAGACATAACCTTACCAAAGCCGATGATTCGAACAATAAAGAACAAAAGTTAAAAAAAATTGAGGAGTGAGCCAATGATAAATTGCCTAAATATGTAATTGACTTGCAAAAGCAATTAGAAAACCAAGAAACTGCTGCTAATGCCATTATTGATAAAGCCACTAAATTAAAAAAATTTAAGGATGAAATTTATCGATTAGTAATGATTAATATTAATGAGGAATTAAAAAGGTGTTTGGCATAAATTTTTATTCAAAAAAATAAGTATATTACAATTACTAAATAATCGAATAATTATCCTTGATTATTTCTCGTTTAACCTAGCAAATTTTAATTAAATCAATAAATTGAGATTTCTTTCCTTAGCTAGTTTTTGTAATTTTTTGAAACTTTCTTGCTTTAATCGGCGTGCCATATTTTCTGACTTACCAAGCGTTTTGCTAGCTTCCGAAAAATTATAACTTTTGGCAAACAAGGATAAATATTTTTTCACCAGAGGTAAATTTTGAAATTTTTTCTCTTCCAGTGAGTTTTTTTGCAACAATTCTGGATTAAATTTGTTACCCAATTTCATTTTTTTTTTTAATTCTCCTTTTTCTTCTTCGGTGGCTAAATAATAAATGTCTAGTAAATTGGAGGGTTTTACTCCGGAAAGGAGACGGATTAGCAAAATCGCTTCTCGGTCTTCCAAGGTATTGATTAGATGGTTAGTCTGAATTACAGCATCTCGGTGGCGAATTTGTTCAGCAGTCAGTTCGACATTTTCCTCATCATGCAAAGTTTCTAGTAATGAATAAGATTTATTTTCCTTGTCATCATTTTGATAACTATTGTCATAATAAACTACATTTTTTTTTTCTTTGTTTTCACTGCCTTGATTAAGAAATTGACTTTTTTTAATATAAGTTTGGATATACTGTTTAATTCAGTGACCGGAATAGGTAGGAAGAGTGCTGCCGCAGTCTGGGTTGAACTTTTCAATTGCTTTTGGTAAAGAAGAAATGCCCTCGGAGACTAGTTCCTCAGGATCAATTTTTTTATTAAAAGAAGAATAACCCTTGGCAAGATATTTAACAAAATTTTTATTGTAATCCATGAGAAAGCGGATGGCTTTGCTATTCTCAATGACCTTTTTTTTACCCATTTTTTCTAATTCTTTCTTTTTCTTTTTCAGTTCAGTTTTTAGCTTTTTAATATCCTCGGCGACTATTTTCTTATTTTTTATATTCCTTTCTTTTTCTTCAATTTTTTTTTCCAGACTGATAATTGCTGAAAAAATTGTTACTACTGGTTTAGCTGCTTCTACTAGTTCTTTTACTTTATTTGGTTTAAGAGAAAAAAATTTACTCATTAGTTTTTATTTTATTTTTATTTATTTACTTTTTTTAAAAAAATATTATTATTCATAATTTAATAGAAATTTTTTAACATTATTTAATTCTTGTAGAGTAGCATCAATAACTTTTCCTTTTTGGTTGCCGAACGAAGAAAGGTTGGAAATCGAGCCGGAAACATTAGTGAATTCACTGAGCGAATGTTTTTCCAAATAAGAATTGTGAGAATGGGAAGATATATAATAATTATAGAGGTCATGGTACCTCGTTCGGTTGGATTTGGTTAAAAAAAAATGAATCTTTTCACTAGTAAACAGCCAAAAAAATCTTTCTTTAGCACACAAATAAATTATTTTCTTTTCCTTTTGCTCAATTAATTCCCGACCATAACTAATTAGCAAAGAGCGGGGGTGAAGTGAAGGAAAATTTCAATGGATAAAGTGAGGTTCTATTTCTTCTTTTTTTCAGCCAACTAAGGAACTTATTTTGGTGATTAGGAAATCATAAATACTAGGTTTGAACTTCCGAAAAACTTCGGCCATTTCACTGACAAAGCGACTGATCCTTTGCGGATTATTCCCCACTTCTCATTGGGAAAAATAATGGTTTAGGATAAATAAATAAGGGTTTTCTCGGTTTTGAAGTAGGTTTTCCATACTTTCTTTAGTTTGTTGTTGGCAAATCTCATCTGGGTCACCCTCATAGTTACCCTTTATTACTTCACAATCAACTTCCTTTAACAGTAATTTTACAGCCACATTAACCGCGGCTTCTCGTCCCGCTTTATCACTATCTAAAAAGAGAATAATTCGCTTCTTTAACTCGATTAGCAGTTTAATTTGTGTTTCCGATAAGTTAGTTCCAAGCAAAGCTAGACAGTTTTCTATCCCTAATTTATGCAAACTAATCACATCAAAAAATCCTTCTACTAAATAACACTCCTCAGTTCGGTTTTTTTTAGCGGTTGGGTAATTATATAGCAGGGAGGACTTTTGATAATATTGATAACTTGGTAAATATTTGTACTTGCCCTCTCCGGTTGGTATTTCACCAATTTTTCGGGCTGCAAAAGCCACTATTTTGCTTTCAGAGTTGGTTAAGGGGATAATTAAGTGTTGAGTTGGGAAAAAGTCACAAACTCGGTTATTCTCAGTTACTAAGACTAAGTTAGTAACTAGTAAATCCTCGGCAGAAAAATTATCATTTTTTTGGGGAAAAAGTAAATTACTTAGTTGTCAATTGCTGATGCTACCTCCCAAGCCAAAATGGTCGATCGTTTTTTGGTCTAATTGGCGCTCAATTTGCAGATATTTTAATACTTCCCGACCAGCTTGAGTAAGCAGGTTGTGCTGATAAATTTCAGTGATTAGCGAAAGGAGATAAAAGACTTTATTTTTTTCTTTTTGTTCTTCTTGCTTTTTCTCCCGCAAAATCGAAAGAGGAAAATAGCCCATTTGACCAATTTCTTCAGCCGCTGCTTCCAAGGTAATTTTCTGATACTGAGCCCAAAAGCTAAAAATATCGCTAGCCTTAAAACCACAAGTAAAGCAAGTAAATATTTTGCGGTTAGGTTCAAAACTGCAACTGGGGTTTTTATCGCTATGAAAGGGACAAAGAAAAAAGACACTTCTTCCCACTTGTTTCAAATTAAGGTTTAATTGTTTAGTTAGTAAATGAAGAATATCATTAGTATTTAATAAATCCTTATACCTCATTAATGAATTTTAGATAATTTGGTTAAAAGAACTTAATTATTAGTCTAATTCCAGCCGCCAAAGGAGGCTTTTTTGCGGCTAAAAGAGGATTTGTTTATTGGAACAAGTTATTAGAATTAAACCTTTTGCTTACTTAGTCGCTTTTTCTTTGTTTCCTTTCTCTTTCTTTTTCTTTTTCTTCCTATTTGTTAAAGAAGAAATTAAAAAATAAAAAGGTGCTACAATCATTGTGGAAATAAAAAAAGAAAGGTGAAGTAAAGTTTTAGAACGTGAAATTTTGGTGTTGTTTAATAATCAAGGACAAATAACAAATATTTGGAATGAAAAAAATGGAACGAGAACGAAAATGGTAAAAAGAAAAAGGTTAATGCAATCACGTTTACCACTTCTTCTCATTCTAATTGTTTTTATTGCTTACATATTTCGCAATACGGGTTATAATCTTCACCATTAGCCTTATGAATTTCATGGGCGGTAAATTGACCCGTTGGTGTTCCATAAGTAAGCCCTGTTTGAGTAGCATCATAAGCCCTTTTAAAATCGCCTCCTCTTGAAGATGCTAATTTACCAACTGTCTCGCCTCCAAATCAGCCAGCCTCTTCACCTTTTGCTAAGTCTCACCCAAAATTACCAATAGAATTTCAAGCCTCTTTGGCATCCTCACTAGGAGAGTATTCTTTACCCTCATTTTACTTCTGGGGAAAGTCGCCTAGTGTGAAATAAAATGTCGTAGGCTTAAAGGGAGAAGTTTAATTTTACTTATTTTGGTTTTGACCTTTATTACTCTTCTCTTTGTTTGTGACTTACCGGCACAAGAAGATTTGATATTTGATGAATAGATTGTTTTGCATGATGCTTCATATATTTAGTTGCTTTCTAATTTATATTTTATAATTTTTTACTTATACTTGGTTATCAATTTAATTTTATATAAGTTTTGTTAAAAAACATATTATTCTAAAAAAGTTAAAAATTACCTTTAATTATCTTTTTAATTGCTTGACAAGTTTTTTCTAATTTATCCTCCTCTTGGTGATAGACAAGTATATATCCATCATTTTGGACTTCAATGGTTGAACCGGTTTCTTCGGTTAATTGGTTAATAGTTTTGCCTCGGGATCCAATCACTAATCCAATTTTTTCTTTTTCTACATAAAAACAGCGACATTTAATAACTTGGGTCGGTAAGTTAGGACGGGGATGATAAATATGACTTTTCATTTCCTTTAATAAATGAGACCGGGCTTGGCGAGCCTTTTCAAAACTAGTTTTTATTAACGCTTGGCTAATTCCTTGATTTTTAACGTCCAATTGAAGGGAACAAACCCCCTTTTCAGTGCCAGCAATTTTAAAATCCATTTCTCCTAATTTATCCTCTAAACCATTAATATCATTATAAATTTGACCTTCGAACAAGCCTAAAGCTATTCCGGCCGCTGGTCTAGTTAGTGGCACCCCGGTTGCCATGAGGGACAAAGAAGTAGCACAAATCGAAGCCTGAGAAGATGAACCATCTGAGGAAAGAACTTCCGAGACTGCCCGAACCGTGTAGGGGAATAGTTCGGTCGAGGGAATTAAATAATCAAAAGTTTTTTCTACCAACTCACCATGACCGATTTCCCGCCGGGAAACACTTCGATAACTAGCCATTTCATTCACGGCAAAAGGAGGGAAATTATAATGGTGAATAAAATATTTATGAAAGCGGTTAAAAATACTATCGACTAATTGTTTTTCACTGATTTTTCCCACGGTTATTACTGAAAGAACCTTAGTTTCCCCCCGAGCAAAGACCGCACTACCATGAACGTTTGGCAAATAGTCGATTTTAATTTCTAAGGGACGAATTTGTTCGGCTCCTCGTCCATCCAACCGCACTTGTTTTTCTTGCCAGAGTTTTCGCATTCAGTTTCGTAGGCAATCATCTCAAAATTCCTCCACTAGGTCTTTCACAAATTCTTCTTCCAGTTGGGGATTGGCGGCATAGTATTCTTTGGTTAATTCTTGCCGAATCTCTTTCATTCTTTTTTCCTTTGCGATTCATGAAAGATCTGGAGTTGAAAGAATTTCACCTAAATAAGCATTCCCTTTTTCCTCTAACCATTTATCACCAATATTTTTTTCTAGTTTAGGTTCTTTTTTTTCTTTTTTGACCCCTAAACTGCTAGCAATATGTTGAAAAAAACCGGTTAATAATTGAATTTCTTGGTGGGCAAATGCAATGGCCTTTTCTAAGTCGGTTTCGCTTATTTCTCGGGCTCCGGCCTCCAACATAGTAATTTTTTGCTCGGTGGCACTAACAATTAGTTCTAATGGAGAATTACTTAATTTCTCATCACTTGGATTACAAATAAATCCTTTTTCATCCTGACCGACCATCACCGCAGCTAGTGGAGTAGAAAAAAAAGGCAGGTTAGGGCAAAGATAACCAACTAAAAAGGAATTTCAAATGCTAACTATCCGCGGGTCGCAGTCTTGGTCAAACGAAAGAACCGAGTTATTTATTTGCACCTCCTGATTACTGGGAAAAGGAAAAAAACTTCGGAGTGAGCGGTCAATTAGTCGAGCCGCCGTAATGGCATCATAACTGGGTCTGCCTTCTCGTTTAGTAAAAGCATTTGGAATCCGACCCACGGCATAAAATTTTTCCTCAAAAGTGATAGTGAGAGGGAAAAAAGAATTAACGGTTTTTGTCAATTTTTTAAGGGTTAAAACGGTCAGTACCGTAGTATTACCATAACGACAAATGACTGATTTATCACTCTTGCTGGCCAATTGGTCAATTTCAAAAATTACTTTCTTATCATGAAAGTTAAATTCAAATCTATTCTTTGAATTACCAGGAAAATTTTGTTTAAAGACACTTTCACTCATATAAGCATAATTTTAGCAATTAAGAATTTTAAAAAAAGAAATCTACCTCATCGCCTTTAACATTCAATAGTTAGAAAAGCACACATACTCCCTTTTTTACTAACCGCTTTTCTCTAATTTTTGCTTGCTAGTCAACTTCAAAAATGATAGCATAAAAAAGCCGATTGATCGCAAATTCATAATCTATTTGTTTAAATTTAATCTCGGCGATCTTTTCTACTTCTTTGATTTTTATTTCTCCGGAGTATTTATTAGCCTTAACCAAATAACCCATGCAACGATTCTTTTTATCAAAAGCCTGTTCGCCAACTATTTCTAAGTTTTCAATTATTAAGTTAGTTTCTTCAAAAACTTCTCTTTTAGCCGCTTCCAAAGGTGTTTCGTTGGCTTCTATTTTCCCACCTGGAAAAACTCAACAGTTTCATTTTTTTTGAAAGATTACCAACAATTCTCCCTTTTCATTTTGGATAACTACTCGCACGAAATTTGATAATTTAGCAGACATTGGTGTTTTGTTTTTTCAGACTGGGATATAGAAACTTTATTCTAATCAAGTATTCAATAATTTAATTTTTATGATGTTTTGGGGGGAACTTCTATTGCCGTTTCAATTTTTTCTTCTAATTCTTTTTTTAAATTAATCAGTTCAGTTTGGATTTGGGAAAGCCTAGTTAAATCCTCTTCTCCAATTTCTTCATTTTTTAATAATCTTTTTTTTATCTTTTCGATTTGTTTTTTAGCATATTCATTGCCAGTTTTAATAAATTCCTCATGGGCTTCTAAAAAATTAACCAACTCTTCATAATCATCCTCTGTTAATTTTTCTTTGAAAGAGTTCATTAACCGCTCTAAATTTTTTTGCTTGGCGGAAATCTTTGTTTGAAACAACTGCTCGCGAAGCACTCGATTTTCAGCCTCTAATTGAGCATGCTTGATTTCGACTTCGGTAGGGATTGTTTCTTTTTGTAATGCTTCTAGTTGCTGGCTTAGAAGTTCATTTTTGGATCTTTCAATGGCCAACGCTTGTTGTAAATTTTCACTTTGGTTGTTTTTGATTGGTTGAGAATTAGTTGGTTGCTGAACAGAAAATAAAAGTGCTGCTTGTAATTGTTCATCTTCATTAGTGGTAATTAATGATAACCTTAGTGCTTCGGCTAACTGGGCATCCTCATCCATCCCACTTTTTTGATTATTGCTTGTATCTCACTTGCATCACTTTTCTGAACCAATTTCATTTTTTCACCTCTCCCGGAATTCTTTTATTTGTCGAGCAGTGATTTGACAGTTGGTTTCATTCAAGTTATAGTATTGATCAACACAAAGAAATTTGACAAATTCACATAGGTAAACTCCGCAATCTCATGTATTTGGTTGGCGAGGATTTTCTCTAAATACCATTTCAGATAAAGCATTTTCATTAATGATGGAATTGCCGTTGCTGCCATACTTTTTTCCAACTTGCTTCAAAAAATTACTGATTTCTTTTATTTCTTCGGTTGCGGCGGAAATACTTAGTGAGGAAAGGTAAGAAAGTCAACTAACTTTACCACTATGCTCGTTATTAACAAATAGCAATAAACTTCAATGATTATTGCTTACTCGTAGGGGTAAGAGAATATATTTTTTCTTAGTGTTTAGTGAATTTCAAAACTCATTATCAATTGCCTCATTTTTTTTGGCTTTTTCCACTTGTAAATAAAGGTTAGCAGTATCAGTTTTCACTTGAATATTTTTAGCCGACTTAATTATTTCATCCCTTTCCAAAATGTAGGCAATATTATCATCCGTTAACCAGCCCGTGTCGATTTCATTTTCTTCCTCTCGGGAAAGTGCCAGAGCCTTTTGTAATTCCCTTGCTTCGTTAGTTTCCTGAACCAGAAAATTCGGACTAAGTAAAGATTGATTTATTGCTTCTTGCAGTTGTAAATCTTCGAACTGTTCTTGTTGCTTTTGTTCCAAACTTTTTTGATAAATTTCTCTAAATGTTTTTATATTATGGTTAGCAATCGGTATATCTTCCGCACTATAATCTAGTTTATTTTTAACAAAAGACACTAATTCATAATCATTGGGATTAAATCCTAAATTAATCCATTTTTTGGTTTGCTCAAAATCAAAGCCTTCTTTTTGTCAATTTTGGGCTAATGTTTCCGTAAAATTAAGGTGAATTTCTTGTCAGTTTACCATATTATTTATTGTTATTTATTAAGGAAGAACATTATTCCTTAATTATATTTTAATGGTTAATAACCATTGTTCGCTATCACCTTTTTGGTTGGAAAACTTTCTAATTCTCTTTCCTAATTTGTTATAATTCAGCTCGGACTTAAAAGTTTTTTTTTATTTTCTGCCGAGCAAATCCCTTTTTTATCTTTACTAATCCCCAGCCAATTAATCAAAAAGTAAAAAGGCTCGCCACCGCAAATAATAAGAATTTAATATATTCTTTTTGTTCGATTGACTCAAACATGGGGATCATATATTTCTTTCACGGCTTAGTTAGGTATTTTTCCCTAACGGAAATTCTTCTGATTAGGTTGGCAAAAAAGAACAAAATAGGTTGAATGGTAAGGTACACAAAAGTCTTTTTCCGATAAATCTTCGGAGTGGGAAATTTAGCAAACTTAAAAAAGTAGAATAAGTTTAAAGGTATGGCAATAAAATGTCAGACTATTGAATAGGTTCACCAAAAAACACCACGAGCCAGAGCCTTGTCACTTAACTGTTTGGGGAGATAAGTAGTAAAGAATACCATGCTTAGCAAATTACCAATTACCACCACTAAACTAAATATTTCCTGCCTTTTTTTTGCCTTTTCACTCGGTTTATTTTTCAACTCAATGGCACTGTAAAAACAAGTTAAAATTGAACTTCATACACACCAAAAAACGGTAATTCATTCTCAAAAAAAATTGAGCGGATTTTCGGCTCACTTGTTGCCCCCATAAAGGTAATTATTAAAAATTAGGCTGGAAATTAAAGAAAAAATATTGAGGATAATAATCGCTCACAAAATTAATTTCTTACTGTTTTTTTTTTTTTTTTTGTAAAAAAATTAGACACACCATTAATATTGTAATTTACTAACTTTCGAGGGGTTTCTTGTTGCCTACTTACCAAAAATTAATTTCAATCGTTAGACCGAACCTCTTTTTTTTTCTCCTTTTTTCGCCTAGTTAATCATCAAACTAACAATCCTCCAACTACGAAAGCACCTCCCACCAATGGTCAGATAATTCAAGGGTTTTGATACCATTTAGGTTTAATTTGGGTATCAAGCATCACCTCTTCAAGCATTTTTAATAAATCTGCTTCGGTTACATTCCCAAGTTGGTTGGTATTAGAACTAATTCCCTGCGTTAATAAATTGTCCTTTCAAATATCTTCCAAACCTGTGTCATCTTGACTGGGCTGAGGGTTAGAATTGTTTTGGGTTAGCCTTTCAATAATGCTCGCTTCTCTTTCATTAGAAAGGTTGTTTTTTCCTCCTGCTTCGGTTAACTTATTAAGGTGTTGAGCAAAATCGTTAATTAGATTTTTTACCTCAGTTTCGGTTCCGGTTTTTTGGAGTACCGCTAACCCACTTCCTTCGATTACTTGCTCATTTTGGGCGGCTTGTTTAAATATTTTTGCTAAAATATTAATAGTTTCCTTGCCTATTTTTTCATCAGCAATAGTATCTATCAAGTTCATGGAGGAATTAATAAACTGGCGAATTTCCGGAGAATTTTTGATTTGAGGCGGAGCATAGCGGTCTACCAATTTATTTACCAAAATTTTTAACTTACCTTTTAACACCGTAATTTCTTCCGCGGTTAAACTTTCAAAAATTTTTATTACCTTAATTACTTTTTGTTTTCTCTCTTCTTTACTCACCTTCCTTCAAATTGCTTGGAAAAACATTCCTTTTATTTCCCTGTATAGCTTTTTAAATTTGGCGGTTAATTTTTTATCTGCCTTTCAGTTGCTAGCCGGTTTAGCCGGAGCCCGAGCCACTACGCGATCAATGGACTGAGAAATCACCGGCAAAAACTTAATCACTTTAGTTTGCTGATCTAATCCGCTTTGCTTTTCCAGTAACATACCTTGATAAAATACTTCTTCGTTGAAAACTACAAAAAAGAGATCTATACTAGAATGTGATAGACTCCGTCCAATTTCTTTTCAATCGGTCGGTATTTTGCTTTCTTTATTAATTTGTTCATCAACCGCTTCTTTGGCTAATTCTTGACCAATCACTCTTAAATCTTTTCAGTCTTCGCGAGTGTAATTCAGCAAATTATTCCTTATTTTTTCAGCTTCGGTTTTGTCAACCTTTCCTTTGATGCTTCTAATTATGAAGTTTTTGATGTATTCTTTTTGTGTGATTTGCATATATATATATATATATATATATATATAGTTTTATAATTTTTGGTTCTTGTTTAATTTTATTTTACTATTTTTCTCTTTTTGCCATTTAATTTTAGCATTAAAATAATTCCTAAGGCAAAGGCACTGAATAAACTTACTCCTATAATTCAGTATTTTACCTTATTTGATTCTGAGTTAGGTAATTTTTCACTGCTGGAATTTCCTTTTGTTTGGGATTTGAGAGCTTGTAATTCTTGTTCTAAATTGTTTATTTCCGCTTTATTATCATTTTTTTTAGCAATTTCCAACAATTTTTCCAACTGGTTTATTTTTTCTTTATCGGAAAGAGAACCACCAGGAAAATCTTTTTTATATCGTGAAGGAGAAGTTTCGACTCCAAACTTTTCTAAAAGCGGTGGAGGAATTTTGCTTAAATCCTCCGGATAAACATGGAGAGAACCATTTTTAAACTCTATGCTGCTTTCGGATACCTCAGCACTCATATATCCAGAAAAATTATCCCTGTCCATTTTTTTAATTCATTCCGCTTCAATTTTTTTCAATTCGGTCAGTTTCTCCTCTTGGCTTAATGAACTTCACCAGTTTTGGGCTCGCTTAACCTTTTTGTCATTCTCGGCTCAGACTGATTGATTTTCTAATCGTTTTTTTTTCAAATTTTCTTCTCTTTCTTTTTCGTTTCTTTGACAACTTTCACAATATTTTTCCGATGGAGGAATTAAATTATTACAGCCTATTCTTAGTGATTCAAAAGGTATTAAGTTCCAATCACACCGTTTATATCCTTTATCTAACAACTCCTTCTCTTGTTGTCTTTCGGCTAATTTTTCGGGGGTGTTTTCCTTATCATTAGTTCGGCACTCACCCGAGCAAAAAAGCCCATATTTTCCTATTTCAGTGGTCATTCATGACCCATCAGATTGCTGAAGTGCGGCGCCTTCTTTTCAACACACAAACCCTTCTTTTTCTTTCACTTCTTTTTGGCACCAACTACAGTTTTTAACAGTTCGGCAACATTCTTGACAAAATAAATTTTTTTCTTTCCCTACTTGATAAATTTCTGATTTAGCAAAGCCTTTTTGGCAATTATTACATTGGTAATTATTTTGGTAGTTGTTCATATTCATATTATTTTTGTGCTGGTCTTTAATTATATTTATACAATTTAATTTTATCAATAACTTTATTTCTTATTTAATTTTGGGATAATCTTATTATTATTTTTGTATCATTTTTTTTTATTTTGACTTTTTTCCTGACTGTTTTTTGTTCGCCATTCTTCAATTTTCTTATGATTACCGGATAATAATACTGCAGGGACTTTTAAATCTTCAAATATTTCCGGACGGGTATAAGTGGCAAAGTCTAACTGAGAATTAGTGAAAGTTTCTTGCTGATAAGATTCAAGTTGAATGGCTCCCGGAACGGCTCGAATTAGGGAGTCAGTAATCGCCAAAGCGGGTATCTCTCCTCCCATCGTAATAAAATCACCAATCGATATTTGCTCGTCAATATAATATCAAATCCGTTCATCAAATCCTTCGTAATGTCCACAAATGAAAACTAAATTAGGGGCTTGGTTAAGCAACCTTGGCACATCAGCTTGAGTAAACTTTTTGCCTTGGGGAGAAAGTAAAATTAAATAACTGTTTGGATAAGTCGTTTGAATCTTCGCCAGAGCAACCACTAATGGCTCAATTTTTAAGACCATACCGGCTCCTCCTCCATAGGGGCAGTCATCAACCTGTCCTTTAACCGCAAAGTCCCGCAAGTTATAAACTTGGTAAGTAAATAGTTTTCGCTCGCAAACCTTTTTAGCGAGGGAAATTTGAAAGTAATTATAAAAGTATTGGGGGAAAAGAGTAAGATAAATGAAGTTAGGTTTCATGACTAATTGGTTTTAGTCTAAATCATTTTTTAAAAAAGTGTCTCGATAAAGGGAAAAAAAGAGATAACCAAATAGGATAGAAAAAGGAATTTGCAACAAACCAAAAATAAGTGGATAGGTGGAAATAAATCCTCAAAAAAAATAAACCAGGAAGGAGATTAATATTATAAAAATTGATAAAAGGAAGTAGACTAAAAAGGAACCTCTTTCTGCTTGATAGAAAAGGAGAGGGATGATTAGTAAGAAGTTAACTAAGGCCATTCCGACCCCATTAAGTAGTAAAAAAGAACAAGCCGCGATTACTCCGAGGTTAGCGAAAAGCAAAAAGTAGATAAAAATAACTGAAGTGAGAAACAGGTTAAGTGCCATAAAGTAGGTCAAGGCAGCACCAAATTTAGTTCAGATCACAGTTTCCCGGTTCACTTTTGGAGTGAAAATGAGCACTTTAATGTCTTCTTCATGACTAATTTTAGGCATTTGAAAAAATTGTTTCTTTTTCAGTTCCTTTCAACCTAAACCTCGTCCAACTAGATAAGAAATTAAAGGAGCCATCATCATTCATAAAGCGAATAGTTGAAAAAACGAAATAATTCAAAACATATTCAACCTTCCTTGCCAACTGTCATTATTAAGAAATTTTTGGTCGAGGAAACTTTTTAATGAAAAACCTTGAATAACTATCATAAAGATGAAAAGCAACAAATACAAAAGCACTAATCAAATTTTTGACAATAACTTAGCACAATAATAACGATAGAGTTTTGAAAATACAGTTTTTTGACTTTTTTGAATAAACATAAGTTAAATAATTTTTGATATGGTATTATTAATCTAAATCCTCTTCTTGGTATCTTAAATAATAAAGAGTGAGGAAGAAAATTCCACACACTAAGGAAATAATGGTAAATCAAAGCGGGTCAAAAAAAGTTCTTTCTAAGGTATAGGGTCAACTGGCTGAACTAATGGTTTTTATTCCGAACCAAATTAGCGGAAAGAAAGAAATTAAGGCCGAGAAGATTCATTTTTGACCAGTTGATGAAACCAAAAATAGATAAGGAACCAAAATTAAACTAAAGTATAAAAGTGGTCCCACCACGACAGTAATTAAGGCTAGTAAGGCAAACCAAGCAAAATTAACTTCTCCTAACCAGAAATAATAAATACCAAACGGAATTAAGAATAAGACAATATTAATGAGAAAATAAAAAGTTAAAAAGGCGAGAATTTTCCCTCAAATAACCTCG